CATTCATGTTCCCATGTAGATAGACAAGGCTTAGGGAGCTCCTATATCCTTTCCTCGTGATTTTTTTATGCTTATTTGTTTAGTTGGCATTGGGGACAATGCCCGCTTTTATTTGTGGGTGCGCCCTACTTTTTATCCGGATGATTTTATATATTAGTTGACTTAGTTTATGTTTCTATTGATTTTTTTATTTGGTCTGTATATAACTTTACATTTAGTTACTTTTATCGCACTTTTTATCTTCTCTTTGGTCTGTATATAAAGTTACATTTTTTTTATATATATTCATCCCCCNAAAAGAAAAGTAGAAAAAGGATAAATGCTTTGAATTGCATAAGAAAGAGTGACAATGTGTCTCTCTAACCCATTGAAAAGAAGTGAAATACTCAAAGAGTCAAAGAGAATTGTGCAAGAATAAATCAAAAGAAGTGCTTAAGGGAAGATGGAACACATATAGACCAACAACTTTTCCTACCCTGAACCAAAAGCCTTCACATTGACTCCACAAAATCCCTATATGATCTTGAGTTGGATGATACTCGCATTAGTGGATACTTACACGAGGGTCAAGCATATGGTACTTAGAGCCGGACTTGTGACCTTTCCTTGAGAGAGATGAGTGACTTCCCATTAACCTTGGTTTGCGTGCTTATACTCTAAAAAGGTGAGGTTTGCTTAGGGAGAGTTGAGGATGTGTGAGTTTGGGTCCCACAGTGACCAAAGTAATTTAGAGAGTTCTTTGATGTAATGAGTCAATTCTTGATGCTCTTGTGTCACACTTGATCCATAGTTTTTCAAAGTTTAAATTTAGTTAATGATCCATTCATATTGAGGGCAATTATTAGTCCCAATTGATGCTTGTTGAGGTTACTTTAGGACAGTTGGAATTACTTGGATTTTCCTTTAAGGGGTGAGTCTTATTTTGTTTGCTTGAGGACAAGCAAAGGTTTAAGTTTGGGGGAGTTGATAAGTTAGGATTTTAAAATGTTTTATGCCCCAACTTGCCTATGCTTTGATCATATATTGTTACGAAATAGTCCTATAAGCCTCATAAGTTGTGCTTGATCACAGGTTTGATGGACAAAGTGACGAAATGTCAAAGATTGGCTCAAAAAGGAGTGAAACCTGCTCAAGTATCAAAGACCAAGAAATATTAAGAAAAGAAGTCCTAGTGCGGACTGCGCAAAGTGGAATGCGACCGCACTAGGTGGTTCAGAGAGTTGGTGAATTAGGACTAGAAGAAGCGCGGCCATGGTACACATCTCGCGGTCCACGGTGAAGGCTCTGCGGCCACACTACTCTTTTGTACGGTCCGCGGTCATGAGGTTCAGAGAGATTGAGTTTGCAAAGCTAGTACCATGCAGTCCGCGGTCGTGGTTGCGCGGACCGCGCCAGCTCCCTCCGCGGCCACGGTCCATTCTACGCGGTTCGCGAAGTCCAAGTTCAGAGAAGCAGGAGTGAGCCCAGTGCGGTCGAGGTCCATTTAATACGGCCCTCACTGACCCCACAGGGGTATTTTTTTCTAGTTTTTCCAGCCTGGTATAAATAAAATATTTTACCATTTTTTAGGTAATCAAATACATCAGTAGAGAGCTGCGCTCGTGAGAACGTATTTTGTAGCCATTTTTGGTACTTTTGCTTTACATTTACGATAAAATCTTGCAATTTAATTTTAGCAATTAATTAATATGTTTAGTTCTTCATCTATTTCTTCAATTTCTTTATCTAGCATGAGTAGCTAAACCCATTATCTAGGGTTGTGGCTCAACCCTAGTATGGAAAATTGATGGGTGTTGCCATCTAGTGTTAGATTGACTATGGGTGTTTTCTATTTGGGTTGATTTTATGTTTTAATCTAGAATTGGTGGTTGCAAACACTGATTCAAGCTTTGCGGGTTTAACTCTTCTTGAGAAAGAGAGTCTACAACCCCAAAATTGACCCAACAAGGAATTGGGATGGACTCATGAGGAATGATAGTCCCAATTAACGGGTTAAACCTCGAGAGAGTAATTACCCTACTTGAACCCTAGTTGCTTGGTATAATTTGCCTACCCATTTCGTCTCAAGAGAGTCAATTGGGCAAAGTCACTTTCTCTACCGAGAGGTGTGGGAGTGGGTAAAATTTTGCAACGGTTATAGCATAAGCCCCAATTATGTCAATCGAACCTTAGTAACATCTACCCGTCAATTAGCCACTTAGGTAGTGTCACGACCCTAGTACCCTTCTTCACATTAGATACAACTTAGCAATATTCTCGTAGCATAATTTAGTGTTAATCAATAGTTTTACAAAAATAGTTATAATTTGAAAACAAAAACGTTTGAAGTGACATTAGGAGTACAAACACATCTCTAGGATAGACAAACAATCCAACTCCACTACTAGCTCCCTGAGGAATTCGATCCCGACCTTCATATCGGATAAAAGCTATTGTGACCCGCTCTTCCTACCTTAGTGTAGCGTCAAGTTGGCAGTGATCACGCTAGAGCAGGAAAATGGGACAATATACTATGCGATATGTGCAGTCACTAGCGCGGTTCGAGCACGGCCGCGCTAGTCAATTTGGAGCGTATAAATTTCAGGGGTAATCTTGGAAGTTTGGGGGTAATTCCACTTAATCTATAAGAGGTCCAGCTCTCCCAAAAAGACATTATCATGGTTTTTATAGATTTGTTGAAGGAAAGAAGAGGCAAGGAGGATAATTCGACATTGAGTTCTACCTTTCTTCCTTTTGTATTTATCATTCATGATGAATTTTGCTGTTGTTGTTATGAGTAGCTAATTATTTAGTCTAAGGTTTTGATGGAACCTGTTGAAGGATGAACTTCTTGTTGTGTTAATATAGTTTGCCCAGTTTAATATCTATTTGTTCAACTACATTCTTGTTGTAGTTAATTGATATGATCCTCAATTAGTTGTGCCTATTTAATATGTATTACTCGGGAGAGAGTGCATATTTAGGTAGTTGTTGAACACCATCACTCTCTACGTATGTGAGGAATCAATAACCGAGGGTTTAATGGTGGGATTAGGGATAACGAAACCTTGGGTGCGATCTAAGTGAGCTGTAAGAAAAGCCAACTAGCGTAAATCGGGAGAGTGCGTCTAGTTAATTATCGTAATTACACAGGAGAGATTTACGGTAGTAAGAGTGCTCATGATCGATAAAGATGATTAGGCAAATCTATGCGAAATATAACAAGAAGGGATTCCATCAATAGGGGAAATCACAACCTTAGATAATTCTCTTATTTGTTTACAACTCAGTCATAGTTAACTTTTGGTTTACTCAGTTTCATTCAGTTATAGTTAGTAGAAATATCACCAAGTGTTATTCAAAATATCAGGGAAGTTGATTACAGAGAATTCAGTGAGTCTGACATAAGTAATTGGTAGGTTAATTCCCTGTGGGATTCGACTCTAGGCTAAATACCCGGATTATATTTGCAATGACAGCTTGCCCTTTTTATAAGGCATAGTTGAGCCTGATCAAATTTTGGCGTCGTTGCCGGAGAATTATCGGTTTATCAATTACAGTTGAAAGAAACAAAAAATTCTTAGTGAGGTCAGTTTTATTTATTTTCAATCCATACATTGAAATTTTAATGTTTGTTAACTTGGTTGTACAAGTGCATGCCTAGAAACTCATCGATAACTGGTGAAGTGTTTGAAGCATTATCAGATCCCAAAAAAGTTTTCAAGGCCTTAAATTGGGCCAACCAGAAAAACAAAAAACAACAATCAACTGAACAACCTGAACCAAACATGGCAGACCAGGTAAACAACAGAGACAACAATGGGGATAACATGGTAGACCCAACTGCGCAAGTAGTGGTGCCTCTTGTGCCAGAGGCTCCTTTATATGACTGGTAGCAACCCACAGTAGAGAATTTGGCCACAACGATATTAGTCCTGCAGATACATGCTGAATCTTTTCAAATCACAAACAACATGCTGCACTTGTTGCAAAACAAGGGACTATTTTCGGGGTCATACATTGATGATCCTCAACACCACTTGAAGAATTTCCTATCAATATGCAAAACTCAAAGGTATCCCAACGTAACTCAGGAAGCAATAAAGCTATTTTTGTTTCCATTTTCAGTGACAGGAGCTGCCCAAACTTGGCTAAATTTACTCCATATTAATTCCATCATGACTTGGGAGGAGTTAGTCAACCAATTTATGAATAAGTTTCATCCACCTAACAAGACTGCTCCGCAAATTGATGAAATTTTGAGCTTCAGACAGAAACCAATGGAAACATTGCAATAAACATGGGAATGATTCAAAGGGATATTGGTTATATGTACGCATCACGGTATTTTAGACCAGATGTTGGGGTAGCAGTTTTACATGGGTCTGACTGATAGCGTGAAGGATAATTTGATGCTTCAGCTGGTGGAGCATTCTTGAGCAAAACATGGAGAGAAAGCCAAATCCTGCTTGACAAGGTGGCACATAATTCGGGGTGGACAACCAAGAATGCACCTATCACTCCAGTAGTTCACTCAGTACCCTTAGATCCAGCCAACACTCTTGCTGAAAATATGCCACCTTAATGACACAAATGAGCATACTCACCAAAAAGGTGGAAGAGTTAGGCCAGAAGCAGCAGGTGCACATTGTAGATACAACCAATAGGGGCTTGTGCACATCTTGCATTAGTCAGCCAATTAGTAGCCAGTGGAATGCGGAAAGTGATCATCATTATTACCCTAAAGACATGAATTATGTATCTAATTATGGGGGCCAGAGACAGGGTGGTCAGAATTGGGGCCAACAAAATCAGCCATACAGGCTAGTCCAGGGCACGCAGGTCAACTCCTGCTCGTTCTTTTGATACTAACAGGTTCGTCTCCGTCAAGGCTCAGGACCGTTTTGCTGATAAGGCTTCTAAGAAACCAATACCGGAAAGGGGTATAGATATAGGGTCGCTCAAACTTGGTTGCCCCAACTTGTATAATGAGTTGGTTAGGCAGGGGGTGCCAATCTTCTTTAAAGAGATGGACGATGGGAATTTGATAGTTTTACGCGAATTCTATGCCAACGTAAAAGAACATGTGAATGGTGTAGTAACAGTGCGCAAGAGGCTGTGGATGCCTCTGTTGAGGCTATTCGGAGGATATACCAGCTAGCCGCACTGGTGGTATATCCAAGTGAAAACACAAAACCAGATGTGCTTTTCATGTAATCTTTTGAACCTGCCCAATCACTGTCACAAAATCCAATTAAAGTTAATTCTTCACCCTTGAAATATTTGATGCGATAAGCCAAGGTTCCTTTGATGTAACGAAGAACTCGTTTGGCTGCTCCAAGGTAAATATAATTGGGAATTTGCATAAACCTTGACAACAAACTAGTAGCAAACATTATATCGGGCCTCGTAGCCGTTAAATACATCAAACTACCAATGATACTTCTGTAAAGAGTGCTATCCACTTTTCTTCCACCATCATTTTTCATCAGCTTCTCATTTGAAGCGAGTGGTGTTGGTACTGCTTTGCACCCGAACATATTAAACTTTCTAAGCATTGCTTCAGCATAGCTTTGCCGAGAAACAAATACTTCATCATCCTCTTGAGTAACTTCAAGACCAAGAAAATGATGCAATAGACCCAAATCACTCATTTTATATCTTTTCATTATGTCTTTTTTGAACTCGGTAACTGCAGCCTCATTTTTACCGGTAAAAATCAGATCATCAACATAAATCACAACAATAAGAATAGAGTTACCTTACTTCTTGACATAGAGAGTAGACTCGCCTTTTCTTTTGATGAACCCACTTTGCAAGAAGTACTTATCAATTTGACTGTACCATTGTCGGGGTGCTTGTTTCAACCCGTACAAGGCCTTCTTCAGCTTATATACTTTATCTTCTTCTCATTTAATCACAAAGCCACCAGGTTGATGAACATCAATTTCTTCTTCAAGTTGACCCTTCAAAAAAACTGATTTCACATCAAGTTGATATAATAACCATCCCTTTTGTGCTGCTAATGAAATAAGTGTCCGAATTGTATCTTTGCGGGACACCGTTGCAAAAGTTTCATGATAATCAACATCAGCCTGTTGTGAATACCCTTTTTCAACCAATCTTGCTATGTGCTTCATGATGGAGCCATCTATATTACTTTTTATCTTGTAAATCCATTTTACTCCAACAATTTTTCAATTTGCTGGCTTGTTTACCAACTCCCAAGTCTAATTTTTCTCAATCATATATAGCTCTTCTGCCATAGCCTTCTTCTAAACTTCGTCCTTAGCTGCTTCTTCAAAACTTGCTGGCTCAATTATGCATAGTTACATGAAGCATAAATGTCAACAAGGTCTCTCATTTTAACAGGAATACTCGTTGGTCTCGAAGTGCTAGAGCTTGCTTCGTTGCTTGAAGGTGAGGAAGGATCAGCTTCTGAAACTTCTTCCTCCTTATTTTCTTCTTCATTCTCAGCCACCACTATGTTTTTTGTAGCCTCATTCTTTTCCCAATTCCAACTGTCTCCTTCATCAAAAAACACATCTATGCTTGTGATGACATTTTTCCTCTTCAAGCTATACACTTTATAGCCCTTTGATTTTGAGATATAGCCAACAAAAATGCACTTCTCACTTGTTTCATCAAGCTTGCTCCTCTTTTCTTACGGGATGTGAGCATAGAAAATGCACCCAAAAACTTTCAAGTGCTTCACTGAAGGTTTCCTCTTGCTCCAAGCTTCCAAGGGGGTCTTATTTTGCACTGCCTTGGTCGGACACCTGTTTATCAAGTATACCGCCATATACACTGCTTCAGCCCAAAAAGTATTTGGCATTCCTTTCTCTTTCAACATAGTTTTTGCCATTTCAACAACCGTTTGATTCTTTCTTTCGGATACACCATTTTGTTGTGGTGTGCGCCCAACGGTTAGTTGCCTTTCAATTTCTTCATCCTCACAAAATTTCTCAAATTGTTTTGAGGTATATTCCTTACCTCGATCACTTCTTAGCACCTTTATATATTTTCCACTTTGCTTTTCCACAAGGCTCTTGAATTTTTTAAAAATGCCATACACCTCGGATTTTTGTTTCATAAAATAAACCCAAATCATCCGTGGATAGTCATCAATGAACAAGATAAAATACTTGTTACCTCCAAGAGATGTAGTACTCATTGGACCGCACACATCGGTATGGACCAGCTCTAAAGCTTTGTTTGTTCTCCAAGCTCTGCCTTGAGGGAATGAGTTTCTATGGTGTTTTCCCATAGCACATCCTTCACATACTCCATCCTTTTCTTCAATTTTTAGCAGCCCATATACCATTTCTTTTTCCTGCAATAATTTCATTCCATTAAAGTATAAGTGCCCTAGCCTTTTGTGCCATAGCCAGGATTCATCTTTCATTTGTGCTTTCATGGCTACTTCTCCCCCATAATTGAAGGTTAATGAGAAGTTTCTTCCTTTTTCCATCATTTCTTTTGCCATCAATTTGTTTCCTCCTTTTTTATCATAAATTGTGCAATAATTGTTTTCAAAATAGACAGCATATCCATTTTCCACCGGCTTCCTAACACTCAATAAATTTTGATCTAAATCTGGAACCAAAAGTACATTATGGATGAACTTTGTACCTTCTTTTGTTTGGAAACGGATTGAGCCCTTTCCAATTGCTCGAACAACAACACCATTTTCCATTTTCACTTCGTCCTTCACTTTGTCATCCACACTTGTAAAAATATTTTTGTTTCCGGACATATGATTGCTGCACCCACTATCCAATAGCCAAATATTGTGATTTTTCTCTTTGGCCATTTGACAACTTGCAAAGAACAAGCCTTGCTCTCCTTTTTCTTCAGAGACTTTTGCTTGTTGTTGATTCTTGAATCTACAATCCTTCTCCACATGACCAAACTTTTTGCAGTGGTTGCATTGTGGCTTTCCTTGAAACCAACAATCCTTGTCAACGTGGTTGCTTCTTTTGCAAATTCCATATTTTTATTTGGAGTTGTTGGAGTTGTTTCCTCGTTGATTTCTTCCTCCTCCACGGCCTGATTTGCCTCCATTTGATGATTCTCCTTGTGATTTTGTGGACACATTGAGCTTAGATTGTAAAGCACTCTCAATAGATTTTTCGGAGTGTCTTAACAACCTTTGCTCGTGTGCTTGTAGTGATGCCATCAACTCACGGATGTTCAACTTTGTGATGTCCTTAGTCTCCTCAATAATAGAGACTATGGGATCATATTTTTTAGTCAAACTTATCAAGATCTTTTCCACAATTTTCTTATCTTCAACGGCTTCTCAATACAATAGCATTTGATTTGCTATTTCAATAACTTTGAAGCAATATTCTTTTAGACTTTATCCATCTTTCGTCTTCAAGTTTTCAAACTCACATCTTAGAGTTTGAAGCTTGATATTTCGTACACGTGTATCTCCTTGAAATTCCTCACGTAGAGCCTCCCAAGCCTCATTTGATGTTCTGGCTCTCATGATTCTTGGAAAGATGAATTCACTCATTGCTTGTTGAATATAAGCAAGAGCTTTTGCATCTCTCCTTTTTGTATCCTTTAGTGTTCTTGTTTCTACATCTGTGAGTTCTGCTCCTTCTTCTGGTTCATTATAACCATTTTGAACCAGTTCTCACAGATTTTGTGCTTGAAAAACTGTTTTAGCTTTCAAGTACCAAAAATCATAATTTTCTCCATTGAACATATGAATGGATAGTTGAGCCACTCCTTGTCCATTAGTGTCACGACCCGGATTTCTCACCCTCGGGAGTCGTGATGGTGCCTACTCGTAGAAGCTAGGCAAGCTACGAAATTTAGAAAATTCTTTACTCCTTTATTTTACTCCTTTTAATAACTTGCATTAACAGATGATAAACATTTAAACAATAGCGGAATATGATATTAAGCAGAAGACTTAAACAAAATAAACCAAAATAATATAGAAATCAACATATGCCTCTACCCAGAAACTAGTGTCACAATATTCACGGACTATCAATGATTACTACATACAAACGTTTGAAAGAAGGAACATTGTCTGTCTCGGATACAATGATAACAGAACAAAATAACTGATAGAAGAGACGTCGAGCCTGCGAACGCCTGCAGGACTACCTCGAAATCTCGGTGGACTGAAGGCTGGCTCCCAAGCTACTGCTGCTGACCTAGTGCTGCTACGGTATCTGCACATAAGTGCAGAGTGTAACATCAGCACAATCAACCCCATGTTCTGGTAAGTGTCTGGCCTAACCCCGACGAGGTAGTGACGATGCTAGGACAAGACTCCAGATAAACCTGTGCAATTATATNCGCGTGCAACCCGATCCCATTTCTAAAATCTTGTGGTAGGCGTACCACCCGCTCCCATTTCATTTTATTTTGTGGTAGGCGTACCACCCATTCCCATTTCATTGCATCTTGTGGTAGGAATACCACCCGTTCCCATTTCATTGCACCTTGTGGTAGGCGTACCACCCGCTCCCATTTCATTATATCCCATGGTAGGCGTACCACCCGCTCCCGCTTACAAGCCAACACAAAATCACAAGAAATCCTGGCAAGGGAACAAAAGCAATATAATAACTTCCCGGCAAAGGAACAACAATATCAAAGCAAACATCCCAGCAAGGGAGAATCAGCTATAACCAAACCTAACTCAATTTCTACTCAGCTCAATTCATACCAATACTCAATGATAAATGAAATCTGCGAGAACAACTAACTCTTTGCTCAATATTGAGAATCATCAATTAAAGCATCTGTAGTAACATTTAAAAACACAACAACTATCAATTTAAGACTCACGGTCATGCTCGAAACCAACGTATAGATACTCATCACCATGCCTATACGTCGTACTCAACAAGAAGTGATTAGCAAATAGGACACAAATCCTAATCCCTCAAGCTAAGGTTAGACCGGACACTTACCTCGATGCCTCGAACACAACTCAAGTTTCAATTATAGCTTTACCCCTTGATTCATCTGCCAATTCACTCGTATCTAGCCACGAGTTACTTAATTACATCAATAAACAGTAAATGAATCAATTTGAATGCCTGAAAATGAGTTTTTCAAAGTTTTACCCAAAAAGTCTAAATCGCCCCCGGGCCCATGTGGTCAAAACATGAGGTTCGAACCAAAATTCGATTACCCATTCCCCCACGAGCTCAAATATGTAATTTGTTTTTAAATCGGACCTCAAATCGAGGTTCAAATTCCCAATTTTTTAAAAACCGAGGTTCTACCCAAATCACCCAATTTCCCCCATGAAAATCATTGATTTGAAGTTGAAATCATGTTAAAAGATGTTAATGATTGAAGAAAACTAGTTAAAATGACTTACAATTGATTTGGAGAAGAAAGATTGTTTGAAAAATTACCTCTTATGTTTTTGGGGTCTTAAAAAATAAAAAATAACTGAAAATCCCGTCTAAATATACTGCCCTCAGATGCCCTGTGCGGACCGCACAAAATCAACTGCGGCCGCACAGGCTTCCTGTGTTCTACAGTGATATGTCATAGTATTTTGGATATAACTTCCTTGTAGATCAAAAGATATAGGCTTCTGAAGTCGGACTAGTGAATTGTTTTTCACCGCGGACCGCACCAAAACTAGTGCGGCCGCACAGGCCTCTCCGCA